AAATTAATTTATATTCATCAAAATAAATTTATCAACATCACAAAATTTTACGCAACGTGGGTTACTTTGACCGAAACATACCAGCAATATATGTCAATAGCCTTATTTGGTGTATCATCATTTTTATCGAAAGCTAGCGACAGTCGGAACGAGTGTTTTTTTAAACGTCTCTTCGGTAGCTCGCTTTGATAACCTCTTAACGTTTTTAAATGTCCTGTGATTAATATTGCCAAGCTCGACGCTATTTATGTTTAATATTCGTAAATATCGATTGGTCGGCTTCACGTTACATCGACAGAACATTTCTCTGATACCAACGCAGTAGCATAAAACTTTGTAAATATAAAAGTCAATACGTGTTTGTAATATGGCACCTACGCAGTGATGATATCGAAACCAAATGCAAATTTGAAATGGTTACGCAGTGGATAAATTGTGATCGTTATCCTAATATCGATTTCACAGTGGAGAAACGTGAAAAATACACGCGTAATATTCATATTAAATTGTATATATTGTCACACCTTTGAACACCGTCAATCATCTAATGCACGTGGTATCGAGACGTCAGCGCGTATTGTTTCACCAAATCTGTTAATTAAACAGCATTTCCAGAGACTGGAAAGCTAACTTTCGAATAGAATATGCCGGTGAAACATTATCGAGAATAGTCCCATTGAAGCAAAGTGCACCCTTCGTTCCGTACGGTCGAGGAACCGAAATAAATTACCGCTTGAACGTAGAGCGTGCTCGGTTCGTTCTACGGGACGAGATCCTCGCCGATTCCAATTAACCCTGACCTACCGTAACAAACCAAACGAAACGTCACGAACGAGCAGCCCAATCCGAGACCCAACTCACCTATCTGCCCTAAACGTACAAAGTAACCAGTATGAAAAAATCATTTACTCCTATTAAAAATAATAGTTACGATTGCTTTCAGGAATATTCAGGAAAGATAACTTCATCCTATCGTAGCAAGCTAATGCACCGCACCGAATATCACTTCTCTTGAGATGAAATTGGCTAGTTAACAGACGGATAGATAGCCAGCGTTTCCTACAATCGAGCACAGCTCATCGTTGCCTCTTTGCTTTCAATCTACAGTCCGCAAGTTACACGCTGACGGCAGCGAATGTCTATGACAGCGGTCGACCAATCGACGTACGAAGCGCGAACGTTGAATATCCTGGTGGTTTCTCGGCAAAGTTTCCCAATCACTTACGAAGCCGGATTACTCGTGTCTGCTTCATGGCTGAAGAAACCTCGGTGATATTGTACTAACGCGTGTGCACGGTCAGAGAGGAACGCGGCACGATAGCGAACCAATCGATCAACGATCGATTTTCGTTCACTGCGATTCATGACGAACTTGAAAACCGCTAGCATTGATAGGGGTTGGTGTGATCGCAGTAGTGGCTATCACGTAATGTTTACCAGAGCATATTGATAAACAAACGGGAATATAGCCTCTTTAAGGGAATCGTCAACGACGCCACTGTGTTCAATTCTTGGACATTACGGGGTAGGCAGAAACGAGGCGTCGCATGGTGCTGCATCAAATGTAATATACCATCGTATATTATGGAGAAGCCGTGACGTTAATGGTTGTCGCGGCGGTGAAGTTAATTAAATTTTATTACAAATAATATCACGCAATATTACACACGGATATGCGACGAATAGTTTAGGAAGGAGGGGATGAGCGTCCAGGAATTCGTCCGGGCACAACGCGATGCGAAATATAAAATCGACCGCGCGAAATCCTCTCGCGGTTCCATCTAGTAGACCGAACGACTATCCGGTGTAATTAATTCGACGCTCAGCCGTTACAGTTTACGTGCCGTCGGTGGCACACCGTTGCGATTTAGCCCGTTACATAGAGGCCGAAACGGATGGGTGCAGCAATATTGCGATATTTAGGGCGATATGACCGTGTTGACCTCCATCGATTATAGCCAAATTAATTTCCCATAAGGTACGACAGTGATCGCTTCACCCTTGAATAAAATTGTGAAAACTGTGAACATAATCAATCTAACCCAATTTTGACTCGGTTAGTACACTATCCCGTATACTACCAGCTGAACATTCCCTTGACGTATCCGTTGTTTCGTAAACGGCGTCGCAGCTGCGAGTATGGGACACATCAGACACGCTGGAGATACATAATTGGCTTCCAGGACTGCACCGAAGTCCTCGAAGGTGCGAGGATTACCGTGGACCTGATTGCTCCGGAGCTTTGTGTCGCAATTTGGATTTTCCTCTACCGCTAGAATTCTCCTTGATTCTGCGAGGCTGTACGATACTTCTAAAGCATCGTGAAAACGGAACTTCCCTCTTTATTAAACTGTCCGATAAAATGAATAATAAAACGTCGCGCATCTGAACAGGCAACCCGGGTAATTTAACGAGACGCACAGCCTCGACCTTATCGATCGACGCATAACATACCGAACCGTAAAAAATTCGATTCTTGTTTAGACTAAAGTGACGAATTTATAGCGTCAATTTATAGGTAACCAATGTAACGATTCATTTTGTTCAGTACTCGGATAAGACGGGCAAAGATCTAAAGCGCTTTATCTTCTATCGCACGTATGATTCGAGTCTCGTGCGTTCATAATCATCCGTACGAGATTTTGAGCTGCAGAGTTACCTGACTCGAGTTTCGCGAATAGAAAGCATCTTGTATCGAATTCCATACGTTCAGGTGTCGACTATATCGCATTTCGCAGCTCTGATGTCGTCCGTGTCGAATTTCACAGGTCCGATGTCATCTATACCGCGTTCCACGCGTTTGGTGCCATTTGTATAGGGACTATCGGATTTTGCAAATTCTCTGATTGAATCCTGTCTCGTGTACGGTACATCTTTATCTGATTCCACGAATCCAACGTTACGAAATAAATTCTCCATTTGGTCGTAAGCAACATGCCTCTCTTTACACCGTATTCTTAGAAAAAGGGAACGAAATACGCAAATTTCATTGTTCTCTTTCTCGCTGGTATTACTCGGTCCGGAGGTTGCGTATTTCACAACCTAAATGTTTAAACTGGTGTAGACGTAGCAAATTTCGCTTGCAGCAACGGAGCACTGGTAGCGCAACGCCGCACATGAATATTACACCTTAACCCTTGTTAATACTTTATTTCGAGCATTGTCGGCTGATGAGTGGCAATTGGCGTTGGTTGCGTTGAGTCGGCGTAAAATTATGGAAGGGTTTGGGGAAACGTCGACAAGGGTGGGTGGATGGAAGATAACCTCTATCCAGAACGCAGCTCCGTCCAAATGAGAGGCCAACGGGGAAAGGGTGCGAGGGTTGAGTTGTAATTATACCTGCATGCATCGTTCCCGTGTGCATTATAAATGACCATACATTATGAATGAACAGTCCGGCGAATCAGCCGGCTTATTCTACCGAAAGAATGACCACCGTGCTTTCCCTAAATCATACGTGTAGGAGTCGTTTCGTTCTCGCGTTGCTATCTCGCCGACGTAATTCCTTGAATTTGCTGCAACCGCGGAGAGCAAGTATGGCGAATCTTGACGATGTTAGTGTTTTCATATTCGTGTCGCTGGCTACGAATGTACATCTTCCGAGTAGCACTCTCCTAGTTGGTGCGCAAAGATTGTTATAATTTAGAAAATCGTGGAGAATACGCTCTTCCGTCTTTGCCCTACGCCTTCGATCGTGCACCTTTCGAGCGCGAATTTTCGCGACTCTTTCGACTGACAAATTGCAGTCGACGGAGGCGTGGAAATTGCATAGGTCGCGACGTATGTGTCCCTGGCGTGCAGTAATCACGCTCGAAACCTCGGACATCGGCAAATAGCGGAAGGGGTTGTTCGATAAATGAAAATGGGGTCGGAAGGAGCGGATCAAAGATAACGAAGGACAGAACGAGAGAAAGGGGGACGACGATGGATCGCGAAGTGAACCGAGCAACCAAGGAATCGTGATGTCGAAGCTGGAGAGGAGTTGGGGAGAAACAGGAAGTGGAAGACGCAAGATACAGATACACGGGGAAAAGAGGAAGGCAGAGAGGAAGAAAGTAGCGGCGACTCGAACGGTTGGACGAAGAATTCTCTCAGGATGGGACTCGTTAGTCCTTTCAGGGCAGAGTTACGACGACCAGGCTGGCTCCCACCTCGATCACACATCACGGCTCGAAAACGAAACGAACCGCCGCGTCGTCGAGAGCGTCCCCTTCCTTCCGTCCGAATCGCGCCAGCAATCCCTTTGTCGACGAGCGTTTCGTTCGAGGTATTGGAAAATTCTGAGGATGCCTCTCAACACTTTCACCTTACCGATCGACGGTGTTACGACGATCTGTCGAGTGTTGCAAAGTCGAAACACGCCTGAGACGTTGCTCCTAACCCCTTCACCACGAAAAACTTCGTCTTTCGTCTACGAAAGAATGAATGGAAAAGAACGTGGACAGTTTTCGAGGTTCGAAGAGCGTTTAAATTAGCTGTCACTTCGACTGTCGGCGCACGGAGCGTACGTATCTTGCTCTTCGAATCGGCCTGGTGCACTTTCGAAAACCCAAATCGTTCGACGACGATCGCCGGAAACTAAATCATACTCCGGGGGTTGGTACCTTTAAGAATCTCCCAAGATTTTCCAGCTTTCGAGAGTCGAGTTGCGCGAAACTCTGCGTTCAAGTCACCGGTTCTCGACAGGCCACGACGGTGCTCCTCCATGCGACGTATTCAATCAAGATATCGAGTCTCGAGTTCTCGCACGTCGAATCCTGTATCCGGACGTGTTTCGGGTTCTCAACGGCCGGGAAAGTTCGTCGTAGCGATCCCGAGGATGAGCACAGGCTGCGAAGGACACGTATCCCATCGCGGGAACAGCGAAAAGTGCGAACAGCGAAGAGAAGTACATGGTGGCTCAAAAGTCACGGAGAAGAACCTATTACAGTTCGTTTTGCAGCAGGTGTTGGAAATCCTTATCGTGAAAGGTAGCATACAAATAAAAAAGATGCCTCGCAAAGTTAATACGATTTATTTGTAAAGTATGAATATAAAATTACCGAACCTGCGATGGTTGAAATAAAAATTCTGTAAGACTATGAACTTATATTAATGTTTATATTTCACACACCTTGCTTTGTCAAGAACGAAGACTTTCACGTAGAATCTACTCTAGTTTCCCGTAGATTGCAGTGTATGGTAACATTTGGGATAACCTGTAGGGTGGAGGTTGGGGAACCGGATTGCGCGAGACAGTCCGCCAGCCGAGATTTGATTTATATGTTAATCGCCAGCCAGCAGCCGCGGCCTATGTCGGCAAGTGCACAGCCTGCCGTGGTACTCTTTCGCCCCGTCGTAACAATCCTCAAAATATGGCGTATAAGTAGACACCGCTGCATTCTGAAACGATATTGGTTGGTACTGGCGAACATTCGACCTGTAACGATTTTCTGGAACCTTGGACGTTATCATCGGAATCTCTGATTTTCTGATTATTCAATATTATTGGCTGTAACAGTGTTCTGCTATTTATCAAAGTATATTTTAATTACGGAAGTGATAAATCAGGAAGACATAGTCTGTTTGGATAATGCAACCTTCTGATGATAAAACACTCGAATAGTAGAACGTTTAGATAACGGCATAGCGTAGCGCTTAAGAATATATCAATGTATTGTATATCAATTTCGATCAAATGTCCATACAAACTTTCGATGCAGACGCGCAAAAGTATTCCTTGGGAGATCGAAGGGTTCGAAAGAATTTCTATTAGACATGGTCTCGTGGAACAGAGATCGTAGAAAAAAAGCAGGGCGCTCGTTGGAAAGGCCAAACCCCTTCGAAAACTAATTAATTAGCAATGAACCGACGATGTCGATGGAATTTCCGGTAGTAAAACTATGAAACTCACCACGATTTCTCGGAACCGTCGTTTTCGGCCAGCCGCTCCTCGGGAGGAGGCAGATTAAAAGTTTTCATGGCGTGAAACGTCAAACGAAGGAAATTGGTCGACTGGCAAACGGAATGTCGAGTAGAATTCGAACACCGTGTTCGAGCAGCGACGATCCTTCTTCGCCAAACGATTTTCCTTCGAAGAAGGCCGATTAACGAGATAACACCCGTTCATTCTAATCCCCGACGAGCTTATCGTCAATCCCAATTTTTGCGAGATAAATGATTTACCGTTAGTTCGTGAAACGCACGGAGGTGACTCGCAATAAATCTCGCGATGAAATTGTTAATCTCAGATAGGCTTCCGAAGACTACCACAAACGCGATGTGAAAGGATTTTCGTAGGCTTTCGTTTCTGTTTGTCAATTATTGGCGTTAATCGAAAATTAATCGATTTGTGGATTAAAAAGATAAGATGTGTCAATCTCGTCGGTGAATTCAAGGTTACGTATCGTAGTTTTTTTTCGATTGAATGAAAACGTGATTGGACTACCTGAAAATCCTGCTCTCACGTGGAATGAATCAGGTGATAGAGATGAAAATAATCGATAGTCGATAATGAATGCGATAAAAAAAAATGAAACATTTATCCAAGAGAAATTGACAAGATTTATTGGATTAATCGGTAAGTAATTAGTTTTGTGGATTAGGAAGATACAATGTATCATACGATATTATTCTCATCTATAAAGAAAAAAAACAAATAAAGAAGGAAAGCAATAATTCACTTCCTGCCCATGTTTGATCTTTTTTCAGCACATTACGAATATTATAATTCTATTTATAAAGCGATGACGTTTTTTACTTTACGAAACGGAAATCAACGATCGATTGCGAAACAGCTGAATCCGATTAGTAAGAAGATTGATTGATAAAAGTGACTAATTCCGATCAGATGCAATGGGTAGCGATTCGTCGATACCGAACAAAGCTCGGTAAACAGATTACCCAATTGACATTCAGAACTGTTGCAAACTAGTACCTATCGCCAAAGCGTTTCGCTTTATTTCATTGAATTGTACCGCGACACAGGACGACTGATAGCAATCCATATATTTACCGACAAAATGTGTAAATCAATGGGAACAATTAGCCCAGAAATTCTAAACGACCAATCACGAACGCACGAGTGCGCTCCCTGGTTGCTAATAATGTGGCGTGTGAACAACGCGTGAGCAGTTAACAATGTCAACTGTAAATTTGGCAAAATCAGATTGTTTTTTGAAAAAGTTCGCGCGAAAAACTATGGTAGAACGCAACCTGCACGAAACCTTACTGCTTGGCTGCGACCGAATTACATCTTCTCAAATTACAGAGTGTAACTGAAAATACTTTCAATTCGAATAGCGATTCCTTAAATCCTCAAAGTCCTCGAGCTTTATGGAGAACGACCCCGAATCATCGTTGCAAAATTCGCCCATCGGCCAGAAAACGCAGCGAGACGGCAAACAATGTAATTGAAAATTTCTTATCGGACGAAATGCACGCTTATTCAAATTCCTATCGAGCCGTTAGTTCGCTACGACGTGATTTTTTCAGACGATATCGTTCCAATCGTGGCTATGCTTTTCCGGTGCAACTCCTTACCCCCCTCTCACGCTGCACCCCTTCAACTATGATACTACGAACGCCTTGCACCACGTGCCGCTCGTGTAAAGTACGGTGCATTATCGTCTGATAAGAATTTCCAGTTGAATCAGAAGAACACAAATTTTCCCTATAAAAGCTGTTCCTCCGCGAGGCTTGATCATTATTCTTTCATTCCTCCAACACGAAGAAGAAAGATCCAACCACCAAAGATGTTTAAACTTGTAGTGTTGAGCGCCTTCATCGCTGGATGCTGGGGTAAGTGAGAGCAACCGGAACCCAAAGCTTGCTTCATTCTTTAATTTCATCTCGTAACTGTATTAGTCTCGTGAAAGTGTTCCTTTCTTTTTCAATACAAATGCTCAACTATTGATCGATTTAAACATCGTAGAGTGAAGATCAGAATTAATGCTTGCGTTAAAGAGAGTATTCTGTGCATATTCTGCATGTTTTTTTCACTGAAGAAGAAATTTCACTGTTTTGATTTAATGTTATAGCAATTGGCATCCAAGCCCTCGAAAATGGCAAGCCCTCTTTGTTCCTGGACTCCAGAATTGTAGGCGGAAACCCTGTTGACATTCATAATCACCCATACCAACTGAGTCTTCAAACTTCCTCACATATTTGCGGCGCCTCTATCATCAGCCCCAATTGGGTTGTAACAGCGGCTCACTGTGTCGGGTAAGTAACGCAAATACGTATAAAAATACAATATTAACAGTAGAAAAATCACTGAATCTTCCGATTGTTGACCACCGACGCAACCATAAATTTCAAATAGGACTTTTTATATTTCGTCTGCTACAGAATGTCAGCTGACAGATACATCCTGAAAGCTGGTAGCAGCAACAAGGACCAAGGTACTAAATACACGGTTAAGAGGATCATCAAACATCCCCAATACAACTCTCGAACTGTTGATTACGATATCGCGCTTCTGGAGGTATGTACAATTTTGCTACATCGCCAAATTAGCAATAAAATGAACTGGCTCTTTGAGGGGCTTTCTTGCCATGGATCGCGATTGCTTGATGAACGCAAACGAGAGATAGAGCGGTATGGCAGGCATGGCAGGAATAGCCACTCAATGTCCTAGAGAGGCCAGTTGATTTCACTCTGACCATATGGCTGCCGCGCGGATTAATGCCTAGATGTAGCAACGCAACGTTAAAGCAATGGAAACTTTATTGCAGATCAATGGACAATTCCAATTCAGCAACAACGTGAAGGCAGTGAAATTGGCAACATCGGAACTCGCTGCTGGTACCTTGGTCGACGTCACTGGTTGGGGAGCACTTCAGGTAAATTGCTGAAATACTTTATGCTCTAGACGTGACAGAAGTAAAAAAGATTGTTCGAAAAGTTTGAAGCACGTACCACATCAAAGTTTGATGACAGTTTCACACCTGCAACGCCAACTACGATTTTATATCAGTGCATTTGTGGTGAATTTCTTTGCAGTTTTTGCCAGGTGAACGAAAGAAAGCTCTCCGACACGCATTAGCGCGAGTTTTCTTTCTCCGGTGCACTGTCAATATTGTAGTAGACGTTTTTTATGCACGTTACCTCACTTTAACTCACGTGGCATTAAACATAACATACTTGAATTTAGCAAAAATATTTAATAAATGTTTTGACAATAATAGGTAGATAAGAATTAGATGGTACAGGGAGTATTGTTTTATTCCACGACGGCGTTTCAATTGCGACGGAAAGATGCTCGAGCATTTTCAACGTCGTTGCAGAATCATATTTCAGCACCAAGCGCGACAAAACGACAACCGCGATCGTCGCGTAATCTGCTTTGCATAAAGGGATCATTTCTCAAAATTGCTCGTTTACGTACGTTGCAGCAAGGAGGACAGGTTTCATCACAACTGATGAAGGTGTCGGTGCCCATCGTGAACAGGAAGCAGTGCCAGGAAGCTTACGGATCGAGCTCCATCACCGAGAGGATGATCTGCGCTGGATACACCGCTGGTGGAAAAGACTCCTGCCAAGGTGACTCTGGTGGCCCCCTGGCACACCAAGGAACCCTCTATGGTATCGTGTCCTGGGGTTACGGTTGCGCTCAGCCTAAGCATCCAGGTGTTTACTCCAACGTTGCTAACCTCCGCTCTTGGATCAAACAAAACAGTGGAGTGTAAGCGTACAACGAGACCCGAAAACTTCTGTCAATGAAATTCTATAAACATGTCATATATTGTAAAATTTGGTAAAACCTTCAATCAAATATATTGAGCAATCATAAAATATATGCATTGTGTAAAGTTAAAATCCTCGCCTAACACACAGTGAAGTTGATTTTTATAAGAAACACAAATATTCTACTTGCTGACATAAAATTATGTAATAGAATAGAGAATATAGATTATCTACGCCTCAAAGGAACGAACAGAACTAACGATTATCGATAGATTGACAGTCAGAACAGGTTGCTAAACAGCCACATGCTTTCTTCGTCCATCTTGTCCCGATCCTCAGAACAACTCAAACTTTCTCCGATAGTTTACCCAGTTGGACAGTTCGATTTGATCAATATCGCCGTTTCATTGAAACGGTACTTTCTATTTGAACTGTTGCTCTGTCTTCGCAATTCAAAAATATCGTTCGATCATTTCTTTTAGAAATCACTGTATCTCCTATAACACACGTCCTTCGAAATATCGTTTAATCCAATGATTCCGATAAGATCGTCGAACATGCACTTTTATTTATCGATCATTAAAAGTTTGCCACGTGAATCACACCCTTGATAACGCACAAATCACACATATATGCGCCCGTAAAATGTATACCAGAAATACATTTTACCAAGCACGGAAACGGATTAATTTGAAGTTTCTTCAATTCGAGCGTGTGATTGATCTTGACACGACTGTTCCATTGTCTCGTTCTCGATACGATATCGCTAATCACGATCTGTCTCGAGCACTCCAACACAACTGCGAAGAAACTTTTCACAGAAGAACCAAGTTTTTCGCCCCTCTTCCTTATATATCGAGACACAACGAAATGTATTACCGGTATCCTTTTGAAGTTACCGTGACAAGACGCTTTCGACAGTGGTTAATGATCGATAACGACGTTTATCGTCGAAAAATTTCGCCCCCACGCGTATCGACGTGTCTCGACCCACTTCCAGTCCCAGTAATTCGACAGGTCGGTCGTTGTTTCCTTGTCAATCTGCGTTGAAATGTCCAAGAAAATACTGCTCCTGTTCTGCATCTTCCTCGAGGACGGTAAGTTGAATAATGGCGTTCCGTAGGGGAATTCAATTTCGCGTACAATATCATGCAAATATTCTTCATTTTCTGTTCAGTTCTTGCCTCTGGAAATACCAACTACGCGAACATCACGGAGTATCCGTATCATGTAAGTTGAAATTACCTTTACACTAATCGATAATCGTCATCGAGATATTATTTTTATGCATTGATTATCGTGAGTGACGGTACGACGCGTAAAGAAGGGATTTTTTAAAAACGTTAACAGATTTTCGACAAAAAAATTTCCTGAAAACGGCAAAACATTGGATGTAACAACGGAAATCGCGTGAAGTATTGAAAACAAACATTGCCGTTTTATTTCCTCGCGTATGCACATTGAAAAATGCTCACGAATTTGTGAACGTAACCCAATTTTCGAAAAACAAGTTTTTTTTTTAAACCAGTGTACTCTCAAAACATTGACACGATCGAGAAATATTTACAAGTGGCTGGTCAAGCGACCCCGGGCAAACTCGCTGAAAATAACAAATTGAAATTTGACTTGCTATCGCGAGGATCCACGCGTTCGATTCACCAAGCAGTCTGTAACGCAGGTGTCCATCGAGAAATACGGGAAACACGAATGCAGCGGGGCTTTGGTGCACGAGTTGTGGGCCATAACAGCGGCATCGTGCGTTTTTGGGTGAGTATCTCTTCGTGGAATTTACTTTACGATAAACGGAATGCATCGTCCACGAGGATGGGTATAATTATTTACAGAACGAAGCAGATTCTATCTAAAAGTTGTACGTAACAAATAAATGATCAAAGATAGCAGGCAATTAGCGGTTAAAGTTGATGAAAAGCCCTGTATAAATTCCGTAGGCACGATCGAAACAGGGAACTAACGAAACGTGATTGCTTACAGTGCTGACCCGTCCACGGTGTCCGTGCGAGTCCGCTCAGCAGCGTTGTCCAGCGGCGGAGATGAATTGGAGGTGTGCAGCATCGTTGTACACGAGGATTTTGATAAATACATTTTGCAGAACGACATCGCACTAATAAAGGTGGGCGCGCTTTTAAAAGGCTAAAAGCACATTTATTTTGGAGCACTTTATCCTCACCCGCCTTAGCGGTAGCGGACGTTTGTCACGCGAGTCGCGGCGAGCAGGAATTTTATTACACTTTTTCTGGTTCGGTACGGCGAACCGCGTTAGGATACAATCGTTATAAACAGCAATTCCATCGAAAGCTCGTATATCTTCCAAAGGGACGTACCAGCGGAAAGTAGCATCGAAATATTAATAATTTGCCGTTAGAAGGTATCGCGTGCGTTTCCAAGACTGAAAAGAATTTAATAAATAGCAGGCGGTGATGTATCACTGCTAGATTAAATGTGTACCGGTACGCGACATTAATTTTCGAGTTAATTGCAACAGCGGAAACGAACGCGAGACGGGCATTTTTATTACGACTGTTTTTGTATACGAGCAGCGTGGAAGAAAGCAATAAAATTCTTGAGACGTGAACGTCTAATTTTAATGTAATTTATCCGAGTTTAGCTCAAATTTCCTGTGCAATTCGAAGAGAAACTGCTGCCGATTGGAATACCGGAAAACGTGGACTACACACTCGCCGATGGAACGACGTGTTTCATAACTGGTTGGAAGCACAATCTGGTGAGTGCAGTTTTTATCATTATTAACATGCAACCACTCTCGTTTGATCCAAAATTTAGTAAAACCTATGAAAGGTATGGAGCAGTATTTAACCGTTATCGAAAAATGCTCAATTTGTTGTATCATATTTGTTAACATTTTTGACGTAAAAAAGAAGGATATATATCGTTGAAACGTGTTGCGTTTCCAGGTTGTATTTCAGTTAAAAATGATTTCAAAACTGTTCGTTTTATACCGTGCGATAATTATCTTTCTGTGTCATCGCACGCTCATTAAAGCCGCAAGCTCGTTCGATAAATATTCACTTTTATCGCGATCTCTGATTCAATTTCGGTCTAGATATGAAGCCTGTATACCGGAAACGAGAACATAAATTCGTTCATCTTTTATTACGACCAATTTTCAATTATCAAACCAGTCCAACGTAAACTCCACTTTTGTTAAAACACTGGAGCAAAATTCTACCGACAACTTTCATTGTTTTAATCAACACTTGCAATTGGTCGAAGTAAAACAAATTGACTTTAGTACAGTAAACCGTTCGTGATTTTAATTATAGCGATTGGATGATTTTCAGAGTGGACCAGTCGAATCTCAGCTGACGGCTATAGCTGTACCGATCGTGAATCAGGATGTCTGCAGCTCGATGATGCCCTGCTACGAGCCGGCGCTCCAGAAAATGCTTTGTGCCGGTAACATGACCCTCGGCGTGGAGACGTGTCAGGTAAGATGAAGACACGGGAACAAGAGAGACGTGAATAGAAGGCTATGCGTCTTCGCGACCCACCGTGTAACCCTTGCGACATCCAAGATCCTGAAGGCTCCGCTAAGGAGATCCCTCGACCTCGTGGCCCGTGACGCCACTCGACGCGCGCCTAACTGGTATAGGTGTGTTTGGCGCGGTTCTCGAGCTCGCGTAACCGTTTGCTTGCGAGCTCCCGTGTCAGAAGCAAACGTTTTGGGAACAATGCGCGACCTGACTCCCAAAAACGTGGCGCTAATGTATTTGACGTGTACGAGAAGCGATGGTTTTCCACCGCAACGATTAATAATTAATGAATTTACTATTTACTGAAAATTCGAATTTTTTTCTGTGTTTGCGTTTTGTCAAACTTTAACAGTAATAAAGAACCCAAGGGAAAATGCTTTACCGCCTTTTTCTATCGTTACGCGTGTAATCGAAAGTACGTCGATTCTAATCTGTTTCGCGAAAATATACTAGGAATTATGAATTTACAGAATCGCGAATATAACGTGCAATACCCTTGCTGGTTTCGATCCTCATTCAAGATGAAATAGATTAGCAAATCCTGAACATTTCATGTTCAGCTCAGCTATCATGCTTGAAACCGATCGTTCTCGATTTAAATTCAATCCCCGTTACCAAGCAATTAGTTCCAATTCAGTTCAAGCCGGTGTCAAATGCTACATCCCCCAGAGATCAATTTCCATCCTTTGGGCTTCTCCGATCGAGGTAAACAGCTACCGAATCATTTGTCCTCTTCTGTCCTTCTCCCACATAAGTAAAATAATGAACTTGTATACGTGTACCCATTTTATCTTAAATGCGATATCTTTGCGCAAATTAAATTATTAAATTAAATTAACCATACGAAGTACGCGCAAATACTGGGCTATTATTTTCGAAGAGTACGCATACACAACAGCCATCGATTTCTGCTAATTCGTATTTATCACCGTGTCATCGTTCATTATGGCAAATTGAACAAGATCCCGAGAAATCGTATTTATCCGTCGTCGTTTTAATAACGCGTCGGTTGTCGATAATAAAACGGACGGAAATTCCGTTTCTGCACGGCGTTTCAGAAAAATGATCGAAACAAATAAATCATAGGGCCTTGTTAACGCTATTCTGATTGTCCTTCGCACACGCGATCGTGTACCACATGGCAGCAGAATTCAACGTTAATTTGACGTCTGCCGAAACGCGCACGCGGCTAATTTCGATCGTCGATTGCACTCAATAGACGAACAATGCAACTCACTTGACTCGAGCACGCGAATCAGAGGGCACCGGGGGAACCTAACCTTGAATGATAAATTAAGGGATCCGTTTCCGCGTTGAATTTTATCGCCTCAACGCCGATTTTCTCCCCCAGCCAAACACGAGAACGCTGGCCAAATCAAGGGGAAATTTATATCGGCGATAATTAACGCGTAAATCGAACGACAAACAGTTGGCGCGCTTTCAATCAAGGAATATTTTGGGGTAATTTAAATCATCGTAGATTTCTCGCGAACTTACTTCGTCCACGTTCGCCGTTATCAATTATATTTGTACAGGATGTACAAAAATTAAATGTCACAAGCTTCGTTATTCCTTTGTAGCAGACTCCCTTTATTCAAATGTTTATCGGTGGTGGTTAATCGCAGAGACAGTCGATGAGCTCTAATACCGATATATTCGCCCATTGCTTCATTTCTGACTCGAACGACGTGATAACGCGGAGGGAGAGGGTACAAAAGATGCGGCGCGTTATGAGCAACATTTGAATACGACCGGCTGAATAGAAACTGAACATTATTCACACAGTATAATAGAAAATTGTCACAAAGCGAGGAGATTCCAACACGCTCCATCGTTATAATAACAACAATAAATTCGTCGGGACGATATAAAGAGCGATATCTTTCGGTTGATTCTTCACTGGCAATAGATTTCAATGTTACTCTTCTTTTTTTTTTTCTTACTTTATTTTCAATTTTCACGCAGAGAATACAGTCCCGCGAAAGTTATATAAACTCGCTTGCATTTCGATACCAGGTAACTGCGAGGCGATTCAAACATTCGATCTCTGAATGGAATCGCGTTTTAAGAGGAAACTAATTGAAATATTCAGGATTATTCTTCGGCAGCGATTCCAACTTTGCTCGAATATAATTGTAAATCTTTGTCACGCGAAATAAAAATACGACCATGTGTTGTTCAATTAAAATACATTTCAATTCGTTCGATGCTTTCATAGCGATCCGTTAATAATTATTATCGTGTGTTTGGTTTCGTCTGTTTTTATAATATAATTCGTAAACGTTGTTAATGCATACAATACCTGAAAAATGTATCTCGAATCACTATGCGTCCAGACTTTAGAAACACACTGTAAAATTCAATTTTAAACCCAGGCCTACGGAACATGGCCATTTACCAGCAAGGGGTCGCGATACCACTCGTTCCTCCGCGCATTTCAATTAAAGTAAATTGTTTCGCGAGGAATACGAAACATTTTCACTCCCATCTCGAATAGAAACGGGCATTTTGCGCTCTACGCATCAATAATTGGTAGTTGCTTTTGCAGGGACAATTGGGCCCGTTATTCTCTTTCTAAATGCACCGATGCATTAGCAAATCAACGCGCGAGCGCGGCTCGAAGTAATCACTGAAACTGTCAACCCTCGTCTACTTGCAGGGTGATCCAGGTGCTCCACTGATGGAAGGCCAAACGCTGATTGGTGTTCTATCCTATGGATTAGGGTGTAAAACTATGATACACCCGGGCGTATATACGCGCGTCAGCAGTTACCTGCCATGGATCGCAGCGAATTCCGGCATACGCTATACATGAGATGATATTCGCGAAACTACAATGTCAACATTACCAACCTTTGTCAGAAACTTCGCGCCAGACTCAATCCCGTCGGTCGGTGAACAGCGAGAGAACTTTCCGCGAGCGTTTCTTGTGTAACATTATCAATTTGCCGAACGCCGCGAACGATTTTATGAAAATAGAACGGAAACGGCAAAGGGAACTTCCATACGTTGAGTGCGCACCAATGATTTTCCACGGTATATTGCGCCCGCTGTTTTCCACGTGTCTTGCCGCAATTCGCCCTTTCGCTGCTATCTCGAGATGAAAATATACAGCACTGGAAATGTTTATTGCGTCGTCCACAAATAAGGTTACCATTTCTGGAATGATATGATAATACCCAACTGGGAATTTCGTAGGAATGTTTCTATTTCGTAGTTTCGAGTAGGGTACATGTACTTAAAAAAAAATGTACAACAATCATGATCATTTACCTAGCGCTATTATTAATTGGACGCAATAAATAAATCTATTTCTAGTACAGTAACGTCGTTAAAGGTATCGTAAACGTATAGTACTCTCTCGTCAACCGCGAAGATTATCGTATTATTAGCGACCGCTGCGCGAGGATTAAGCTTGTGGGCTATCTAATATTTTCAAATTTGTTGACATGTATGTATATTAAAAAAATATAATTCGCTTGGTGATTCGAGCAATGTATTCTCGCTTGATAAGAAACTTGTTAAAATATTCGAATAGAGTGTCACTCATTTATTCTCCAGTCTTTTTACACCCCTCACGATCTTCAATTTCTTTGGTTTCGTATTAGTTGAATTTAAAATACCTGTGGAAAAAAATAATGCTATCTGTAAAAAATATTAATACATGTCTTTGGACCTGATAAATGGATCTGTAGGAAAATGCATGAATGATCGTGTGATATATGTAACCAACGATTTTATTTGAAAACTGCGATGATAACTAGTGAAATAAATGTCACTAGATGACTCGGAAATGTCAATTATATGTATCCTACCCCCGATTCGAAATTCCAAGTAAGCCAACGCGATCTATATTTAGTCAAATGCTACGATACATATCTGGTACTTTCGATGAGAAAGAACTGGCTCAATTATGGAGTCACTTGTTACATTTGTACATTAAGATCTGTACCGCGGTCGACTCGCTATCGACCTGCCTACTTTGCCACGTTTAAATAAACGAGCAACGTTGAAAACCCCGGAGACCTGTCCCGCGCTGACATTTATTCCACTCCGAAGCGTAACGATAATGTCGAGCCTTATTAACGATCGCGCCGGTTCTGAAATATTAAAACAGGAAGTCTCCAGCGAGACAGAGCTACGCGCCAACTGTCCTGCGCGACGATTCAACCAATTACATCGCCGGTCGCGAAAGGGCATGAAACGAGGATTTATTGTTGAATAGAAACAACGATGAAACCCTCAACTGTTTGGTTCCCGCTTTTAGGATAAATACGAAACGCTCACAAACCAGTTTTCTCTGTGATCCAACTTCGAAGGACGGTTACTCTCGAGTAAACGCCTGGGAAAGATGGTCGCGCGCATCCCATGCCCCAGGACACTACGCCGATTAATTTGCCGTACTGCACCAGTGGTCCACCACTGTCGCCCTGTGGAAATAAATACAATAAAATACAGTAAAAATCAATAAAAACGATTTAATAATAAATTATTCGAAAATTAAAGGGTAGATTCCACTGGTGTAAAAAGTCTTATTAGCTTTCTTCGCATTATTTTCAGATTCAAATATGGTCATAAATATTCGTGAAAGGATTTACGTTGAAGTTGTGAAACACAAGGAAATTGAACTGAAAAACGGGGAGAACTAGCGTTGAATTAAACTGAGCCACGGGGCACGGAAAAGCAACAAATAATTGGACTGTAACGGGTTAACGACGCTCATTCGGAGGCTATCCGAACAAGATATTCGCCATATATCCAGCGAAAATCGATACGGCTGGTCGCCATATATTATCCTTTGCTTCCGTAGACGCCGTAGAGGAGCATATCACTGTTGGAAAGCTTGGCAATTCTCGCTATATTTCAAAAATAGGAGAGCACAGGGAAACATCGCTTTAGAATCGCCAAAGCCTATGCAAGACCTTCCGCAAAAAAAAAAAAAAAAAAAACTTTGTTTACTAAGATACCAAACCATCGCGCTAGAAATGACAAACTTACAAGACAGCTAACGTATACTTAATTCAGACCTACGCAGATCCAGAAAACTTGACATATAATACAATTAAAAAGGTATTAGTCCCACCGTTAGAGATCCTCGATTAGAGTGCCCAATCGAGGGAGCTACGGGAAGTCTAATCGCCAATTAATGGAAGCAATTACCTGACACGCATCCCTGCCGCCGAGGTTTACGTAACCAGCGCAAATCATTCTCGGTGTGATACGGCGGCCAGCGTACAATAAAGAGCACTCCGAATTCGATACGAGTGGCACCTCGACCTTACGTAACCGAGTGGTCGTCGGGCCGTTGCTTCTCAAAACACCCCAGCCGGTGACCAACGCCTTCGAGCCTGCTGCATAATGATCGGCGACCGGTGCCAACAGAATCGGTCTCACTCGAGAACTGTACACCAGCGGTTTTTCCAGCTGAAATTGTAATTGGTTTCAGCGGTGCCAAGGCGGAGTGGCTGTACGCTGCAGAATTGATTGTGAAACGGTAATTGAATTCTTCGGCTTTATACCGAGGAGGAGTCGAAGAGGTGGTGGGAGGACGCGTATCCCGTTAATAAATAAACTTCATCGATCGGCCAATCCGAGTTGCTCGGAGCTACGGCGCGCTTTTTCGTTACGACGCGATTTTTCGAGCCCGATTGCCACAGGGACGCTTTATTTCTTTGTTATTTACTCGACTAACCGTGGCGGAAATGCAGTAGCGCGATATTGTCGGCGCAATATCGGAGACCGTATATTTTCTTTGCGATTTTATAAATACCACGGGACGGTACGATCTTGGATGGAGTACAGGCTCCCGCGTAAACGGCGATGGGAACGGAAAGGGAGAATTTTTCGTAGTGAAAAATATACGAACGCGGTAAAGGTAAATCGAAAAATGTGGTAGGTGATTTTTTTATCTGTGCCGTTCGCTTTCGAGACAGTCGGATTCGAAAACGCTCGACGTACGCACGCACTCCAGTCTTCCACTATTTCTCTACCAGACTATCGTTATTCTCGCGAATCAAGCGATAATTTCTAATATTTTCTAAAATTACACTCACCCGAATCAAAGCGATATCGTAATCGGAGGTTCTTGGGTTGTACCTCTCGTGACTGATGATCTCCTTGGCGGCGACGACCGTGCCTTCCTCTGTGAGGTCGGAAGTGCCAGCTTTTATCGATATGAAGCGAACAGAAGTACTGAAAAAGCACAGAACAAAGAAACAGGTCGTAATTTCTGTAAAATCTTTTTATAATACCCTTTTCACGTTTATATTAAGAAGAGCAGTGCACATATCACGTATCGAGGTTGATAGCGGATATCGATACGTAATCGATGAAAAAGTATGCGTACCTCTGAACACAGTGCGCGGCCGTGACGATCCATTCCTCGCTAATGATAGCGCCACCGCATACGTGACGATTGTTAAATCGAAGGGATACCTATAAATTTCGCCTGCGTATCAATTTTGCGGCTATCGGGCCCGACAACCGTGAAGTTCATAATATTTTCGCGTGAAATCACGGCAATTCCGCCGTGCACGGATTCATGCTTTTCAAGGTTGGTTGATAAAGCCATTTTCGAAAGGCAAGCAGATTATCGCTACCAGACTCTCACAGAGAAATTATTTCCATATGACAAACCGCATAGTATGTTCGTTCTAATTAGCTTGTTCGGTAATAGAGTGGTCCAAGTTTCTTTCATCTTGAATAATTTGGTTCGCAAGAGCGCGCTAAATGAATGCGTTAAGAGCAAAGCGAATTTTTGAGACGGTTTTCCAATAGTATTACAAAAATTGCAGTAATAATAGTATGATTAAGTGGTAAATAATATTCTCTGTATTTAATAGAATGAATAAACATGAAACCGAAATTACAATTCTACGAAGACATTAGTAGAGTTATTGATTTTTAATGACTTCTTGTTGGATAATATATAGTCGAAACATTTCCGCGTGAAAGACTGAGAACATGTAATCTTTGACAAAGTTGCCAGTGGTTGTTTAGAATACTTACTTGATAGGGGTGATCGTCGATATTTGCTAACTCGCCACCAACAATACGACCCTCGTCAACTGTAATAATCGATAACTGAATTAGCGTTTCCACTTGCATGGATGCTGAAAAACTGCTAATTAAAGCATAACGTTGCTCCGTTAATTCCGATGGATTTAATGACCCTCCTTAAATCGTGGAAAATTAAACACTCGTAAAAGAAATGGTTATACACTCGAAAGCATTCAGTGTTTAACTACCTCGATTTAATGAAGTAATATGTACGACGAAAGTCGGAAAAGTAGAAATTGAGGCAACGAGCAGAGTATAATATAGGCTTTGACAGCACATATGGAATTCTGCATGAAATTCCAATCTGATAACAAGTTAAATTGAACTATGAATCAAAGTTGATGCAACGATGGAGCTGAATGCACGAGCAAAATTAGTTTTAAGAAAATCATTAAATTTGGAAGGTATGAAAAACATCATAAATAGGTTCAACATAATATATTTAACCGTATAAAAGGTATAAATTCTTCTTCTTGCAGAAATACTATTCGAATGTAATGGTAGTTAATAATAAACTGGTAGTTGAAAAGTTTTTCTTAAATTATCGCGTTTAATAACGATCGAATATACGTACGATGCAGGAAAAAAAAGTGTGCCAACGCGAACGGAGCGAGCTGCAACAACAGGAGCGGTGTCCACGTATACATGGCGGGAACTGGACGACGAAACTACCTGTTCACCATGCGGTTCGCCCTTCTTTTATTTCGATATTCAGGTTAATTGTCGTTCGTATCAATTTACTTGGACACGAGAAAAATTTCCGATCCACGAAAGTCTCGGACAGTCGACCTAGATTCCACGTTGATTACGTAAAAAGGAGCAAGACTGAAATAAAGTGTCAGCGCTGCCAGCGTGCGATAACATCGTTTCTTCTATACATACAAACTAATTAAGTGCATCTTTAAACCGCTATCGCTGCGCCAACTCTCGCAGAGAGAAGTACATTATTAGTTGTGTAATTAAACAATCGATGACACAAATACCATAGATAATCGGTTAAAACGTTATTGGAGGTCCTCCGGCATTTCAAGGTAATAATCCGATAACAGGAAGGAAGGTGAGAACGATGAAACGTCAGTCGAGAAGCTTCAACTGTGCTCGTGTGCCGTCAAAAGGACGCCTTTTCATTAGCGAACAGGTAGTTCTTTCGTCGAGCGTGCACGCAGTTCTCTTGCTGTTCATGCTGTTACGTGGATCGTGTCGTCGCAGACCATTTTGTTTCAGAGCACGCATACCAGGGCCATTTGTGTTTCTTAACAGTGAAGACAAGTTGCTTCTTGCAATGGGTTCCAAAGATCCCATTCAAAGAAAACATTGATCGCTCCAACTCTGACCAATCGTTCTTTTCGTTGTTACAGAAAGCGATTTTTATTACCCTTGCCACATGAGCCACGGTTAAAATAATGTTGCAACCAAAAGAATGGTCGTTACGCTTCGACGGTGTTTGAAATTGCGCAGCTCCTCCAGGAAAATGAGCAATGTCGCGGTATTGAACGCAATTCTCGGCCGGATGGAAAGAGTAAATTGCTTAATCATCGTATTTCGAGACGTAAGGAACATTAATCATATTTGAAGGGTATTGGAACGCTTTACTAGTTTCATACCAAATAAGTTAAAGTGAAAATCTTCCCAAGATTCGTTGTTTTATTTATGAAAACATTTTCTCATCTTTTGCTTTGCCTTCTCTTCGGTAATGAATAATAACAACTAAAAACTTAAAGGAGGTGTGCTAATGTAGCCTCCTGCCTGGAGATTAATAATTAAGTTCTCTTGCAAACTTTATAATAAACAGAAGAACGCAGCATGAGATAACTTCGTATTTCCGAGATTGATTAAGGATGGTAGCTCGTTACTTTGTTTAAAAAAAAATCGTCAAAAATCACCATGTTTATCATTTTACAGTGTTTGTTTTTTTAATTTATCAATAAAATTATTTATTCATGTTGGTAAGTGGTGTAAAGCCTCGGTTCGTATCGTTGTTTCTTTCCGTTTCAGAGTGCACACATTTTTACCAGGAATGGATAAAAATTAATCTCCGCGCAATGTACCATGCACGGTGAGATATTAATTTTACACGTTCGCCTGCTTCGTTATCCAAGATCGTACTGCTGGCGCAGACACTCGCGTGTACACTCCGGGGTAGTTAGGTCTCGCGCATTCGTAGCCCCAGGACACGATACCAATTTGAACGCCGTTGTACACCAGCGGACCTCCGGAGTCTCCCTGTGTGTCATCACGAACAAATAACCTTTTCTGAATTCCCTGGTAATTTATGGCACGTTCTCGCGATTTCAAACCGCTGTACGTCGTGGGAATCAATAACGCGAATATTAAAAGTACACCGGGACTGGAGCGGAAACACAGTAGCTACAGCTGAGTAATTTCGTTTCTCAAATAATGAAACGCGTCCCGTTCCATCGCGTTGAAACGAAAGTACTCCGCGGCACGGGTTGCACAATTTCAACGTTAAAATCGAATATAGAAACCAAGACTAATGGAAAAATTACTGAATCGGTGTTTTCCAATCTTCCTGAGATATATCGATCGAAATATTGCGATAAGAGATTGCATACAGATAACCAGCGCTAAAGTAGCTCTTCACGGTTATCGATCCACGACGATATCGATCGTGGATCGATGCTTCGTCGGTACTTTGACGTTGGTGTACCCTTTCCAATACCATCAGTCAAGAGAAATAATAGTCAAACGACGTAGATGAAAGAAAAAACAATTACTGTAACTTAAAGGACGTGGTAACGGCGTGCAGTCCCGTATTTCTCATATTGTGAATGAAACAAACCTCGAGGACGTTTCTGAACACGACAAGCTCCGTAACACTCAACGTGATAAAAAGCATCTCCGCTATACTATGTAGAAAGTTACAGAAAATTCCGAGTTAAAATGAAAATGTTTACCCGACAGGTGTCCCGGCCACCAGCCATGCTGCCAGCGCACAGCATTTCATTCGTGAGCGGCTGCTGAGAGGCGTAGATTTTCTTGCAAGTGGTCTGATCGACGACTGGCACCTTTAGGACTTGCAGCATGTCCGACATCTTGCCGTTTTCCTGCAAGTGACCGAGCATTACGCGAGAGGCAAGGTCGATTTTCAACTGCAACGTCCACGTAGCCGTGCAACCGAGAGTCCGTTGTACGGCAAACGCGTCGCAAGGAATGTTTGCAGTGACGACCGAACATTGTCGACCGATCGACAAACAAACCTTAATGTTTGCACGAGTTCGCAGTGGGTAATCAGTCTCGGCGGACGTCACCGTTGACAGACGCAACGAGCCACCGTCAAACGCGGTTTACCTATGTAACAGCTGTCAAAATAATCGGTGAACCAGAAAAAGATTGTTGAATCCTTTGAGTTTCGCCCTACGATTAAATAGTACAACCGACGTAGCTAATTTCTACAATTTTAATTTAATCTTGCACCTAATTGTTCGAGTACGTTTCGATATGGTTACAGCTTGTTAGTTCTAATTTTAACAAAGGCACTTACAGATGTCATGCCCCATCCTGTCACCACCGCTTGACTTCCGGTTGGCACGTCGTTCCTAGCCAAGGGGATCGATTTCGCTGTGCTGCTTTCCTTTATCGGAGAGGGCAACTGCGAAAATCTCAAAAAGTTAATAATTTTAATATCGATAGATTTAATGAATAATTTAGGAAAACTAAATTTAATCGTACCTGTATCAAGGCAACGTCGAATTCGAAAGTTGTGTCGTCGTAATTATCCGGCCAAATTATCTTCTTGATGCCGCTGATCAGCGTGCCCCCCTTATTATTGTAAGTGCTCTGAATACGAATTTGGAAAGCCGCGGGATTCTCCCTGCAAGGTAATCGCAATTAACGATGGCGGCTGCGGGCCACCAATCCCGCGTCTCGATAATTAATAAATTATCTATTCGGTCCCGTATCATTCCATAACTCAATCAACACAAACCCGTAGACACAATGGGCTGCCGTTAACACCCAGTTCGGGCTGATTATGGAACCTCCGCATTTGAGCACACCCCCGTAGTGGATAGACACCTATCGCAGAAACGTTTACTTCGCTCGTTGTTGCCAACGTTTATTGCCGTATTATGCCGAGACCAAGCACGAGCTTGTTCCCGATAAAATCGACTATATCGCGACTACTGTGCCACACCAAACTGATAGCACTCGCATGTGCTATGTTTCACTCTCCGAAAATAAAATAGTATTTTCTAAAATCATTTCGTTCTATTTTACGTATCGTACACTTCGTCAAGTGTCTTTATAAATATCTTTCTTCACTATATCCTTGACATTAATCGAGCGAAACGAGACGTCAAATTAATTATCTTCGATCAATTAAAGGATGTCACACGTGTGGTGTCATTCTGTCGACTATAGTTTACCTGATACGGATATGTCTCGATGGCCGCGGATGATCCTCCGACTATTTTCGACTCGAAAGCGTTTGTCAACGCGAGCATCGCGAGGAACACAGCGACCGGCAACATGTTTCTCGATAAGCGGTCTATCGACTCACTGTCCAAGTTTACTTCAAGCTCTCTGTACTCGAGGTTCAGTCGCAGAGTTGATAAGGTGTTCAAATTGATATCCAACAGAAATAATCGTGTTTCCGGTCGCCACTCGAAGCGTCCGTATCTCCAGCTAAACTTTCGTAACCTTTCCATTTTGCTTCCATATTTCATAAGTTGAAAAAAGTTGAAAAGGTGTGCGAGAGTTTCCGAACCGCGACGTGTCTGCATTGATTGAACGGAATCAAATCCTTCGGCTTCAGAGCACGGGTAGAGGAGAGAAAGACCTCGAGTTTCATCGAGTCGCTTCGCGAAGGTCACTTCGCGCCAAATCGATCACGCTTTGGTCTCCAGCACAATTAAATATGCAAATGAGATCGTCTCATTCGTAGAGTTTTGAAAAGAACTGAAAACTGAAGAGCCGAAACGCAATGTACGGAATGATTCGATACTTTGAGAACGTAGAAACTCGCGTGATACAAGGGGTGCGAATCGAAGGGAAAAGTCGAGAGTTTGGAGGGACGATGAAAATGGAAGCGCGAGAGGAAAAGCGGATCGAAAGAGGGAATTAATGCCTGAACGCTAACGGAAGTGGATATCGGTTTTCGCGGAAGGGTCTTAATCATGCGATACGACGACGGTAGATTACGCGGCGTCTTGCTCGACAAGCTAAGCTGTTATCCGAGCGAGCATCGATGCACCTACAACGATGCGTCCAATTGAATGGTATGCGTTCGACGCCATTTCCGTGAAGTAATAAATAATTCATGTCGCATTAAATTCACCGACGATCGATATCAAGTGAATACTTTTTTTGTTTGATTAAGTAATAGACTTATTCCTTCTGTTCTTTTGTCGTTTTCTGTATTCCTCGGTTTATCGCATCTTGTGTTTTTTTTTTTTTTTTAAATTGAATATGTACCACTTTGAAAGTCACGAGGTCTCTGTATACGTATACATAATATTCACCCCCGGCGCGCGATGGCCACAATTTCGATTACTTCGCGATAAATGAAAGCTGGCTGGACATAAAACAATCGAAACGACGACAAACGGGTGTTCCATTCGCGGAGTCGTAAAGCGTGTTTTTTTTCTATCGCTGTTGCCGTCGGGTCGCGTGTACGCGAACAGTTGCAAATCTTGTCGCGCGTGATAAAGCCTGTACAACAAAAGCGCAAATAAAAATAAAAAGGAAACTCGGAGACAATTTATTCAATGATCGTACTTTATAGGCGCGTGGATTGCTGCGATGCACTATCGATTCGCGACCTACACACGAGCGATACGCCCGCGAATAGCGCGAAACGCTTGCTGTAAATTCACGGCAGCGTTTCTCAACCTCTTTCGATTCGTCATTCAGTGTTTTATCTCGATGGCTCCTATCTCTGGGAGGTGGTTGTTGGGGTGGGATGAAAATGATAGAAATAATAGAAATAGTAATAATGACATAAGGGGCTGAGAATGAGGATCACTGGATTAAAACGGACACGTGTTTCGAAACGCGGCGGTGCGCGGGAATTAATGCTATGCCAAACGACTCTCGTAAACGTAAAAGGCCACGTTGTACCGTTAAAATTATATGATAGCGTACCGCTGGATATACGAGGCACATACCTATCTCAAGTGTATTATGAATGTGATGCATGCGGCTCGCAAAACAAGCAACGTGCATTATTTATGGTGTGCTCGACCGAACGCAATGAAAATAAGGCGGCATTAGAGGCGGCGGGTTGAAAGTGAGGCAGAAATAACCCCATAATGTGTAATCCGCCGAAAATTACCATTTGAAATCTACCTACCAGCTGGTACATTCCGCTTGAGGGATAGGCCGAGGGCTCTCGACTAACTTTGTCGAAACCCTCGCGTTTTTGAACAATTTTGTGTATTCTTAAGGTGGATTTGATACTCTGGACCTTGAAACATAGATTTTAGTCGAAGAATCTATGGGTCTAGTAAAGTCCAAATTTACTCCAAAAATGTTCGATCGATACCTGAGAGCAAATAAACAGAACTCGCGAGTTTTATTCTTTCGGTAACATCGAAACTCCCCTTACGAATAAATAAATACCAAATTAACAGTACGAATGTTTCCAAAGCGAGCCAATCAACTTGGCATATACCGATCGATATTATTCCAAACCGTTTTCACAAAATAACAGATCCCAATGTTTGTCAGCGAAGAGCAGTAGCTGCGCCCTTCTCACGCGCGAACTTCCTTCCGGCTTAATTTGTTTAATCTCTTTGAAATTTCCAACTCCAAATACTTAGTTTCTACCGCGACGCAATATTCGAAGGGCTTAACACGCATAAGCGCACACTCAAGCCTTGCGTTCTTTGAATGCTGAGGAGTTTCCAAAATTTCAGACTCATTATAATTCGTCGTGTTCGCCAGAAGTTATGAGCACGTTTTTGCGCATTCCCAAAGCAAAACGAGTTAGCGGACAACTAAACGTGGACGATTTAAGATATTTTAGAGATATCAAAGAGTCTATATTTTCGAGCGAGAAAGTGTGTTCCATTCTCAAAACTCGAACAAGATACCGATTGCGCAAGAAAAATAACGCGATTTGCTTTATCGCGGAGTATAATCGACCGGTAAGTCGGCCACGACAACGCGATCCCTGATAAAAAAAAAGCACACACACACATATACAGATGCGTATCGAGGCCTGTACGTCGTATCGCGCGATTATTGAAATTACGGTGAATGGAGAACGACGTTCATCCAAATTTATCGCGGATTCGCGTCTACGGTGGATTACGAATGCACGTTTTACGGGAATTCGAGCGCTTGCAAGCATCCCGTGAAATAGTTCCGCTGCGGAAACGCCGGATGAATAGGGTCGAACGCCTACCCTGGAAACAACCGAATGAAATACGCCGGCGAGTTACGAAAATTGTTGCGATAATTTTTGCTCATCGAGGATACCAGACGATAAAGCGTCGCGAAATTACTGTCCGCGCGACCCGGTTGACGTTCGTTTCGCGGCCCAACGGTGTCACGTGGACCATGTAATTGCAAATTACACCGCATTTTCGTCTGTGATCGTTTCTAATACGGAAACGTGGCCGATGTTTGCGCAGACAGTGTCGACTTTTGATCCCCTACGTTCACTAATGACTCATTACAGATGTTGTTGACGCGGAAAGGAAATTCTCGTTGGGAATTACCTTCGGCGAGACCGATCTTCCAGGCGTTATCGAAATGCATTCGTCAAAACATCTTATGACCTCGGCAGATTTGATAGAAATACTAAATTTATATACGATATTTAATATATTCGCATATGTAAAATGTGTACATAAAACGCGTTTTGTCGACTGAAAATGCACGTGAATACAAAAAATATGGTTAGGAATCCAATATGCAATGTAATCCATACAATTAAAAATCTGTCCCACCAAAGTACATTCCGGCGAAAGGAATTTTTAAGAACGAAAGATAACTTTTAGACATGTAAAAAACATTATGAATAAAATAAGAAACTTTATGTCTCGACGTTCACAGCATTCAAAGAGTTCAAGCTACTATAGTTGGTTTCGAACGAAGACTAAAACTACCATCCTCCTGAAAAGATCCAACGCGTTGGGTCGAATGAAATAAAACGACAACCATTGGAATCCTCGTTATTTCGTCGATTTATCAATCACGATAGAGTGCAGAAAACGAGTAATAAAAACATCCCTGGGTTATATCTCGAACGACCGATTTATATTTTAATGCTCTCCCCCTGTCGGATATCAGCAAGCAATTTCCAACGGGGGCGCTGATATATGTTAATTTAATAATAAATATCGCGTTACTTCGTCCGAGCGTGCGGCTGTCGCTAACAGACGGAATATTTATCTCGCTTTGGCGATTCGTTTCGTGACACCGCCGATGCAATACGACGGGTAATTGAAATTATTTTCAAAGATAATACATACGCGTTTGCACGCTTCCGGCTAATGAGTTCGACGCTTCGACTGAAACGAAGCTACAAGTGAACACGATGAAATCACTCTATGCAGCCGTTGTCGCTGATGCATGAGTTAACGCGATATTCCGCGCACGTCAATGAACTTTATAATAAGTAATCCACAAACGAGACAATTTTCAATGCGGAATTGATATTTAAACAGGCTTTTTTACTCATTTACGTAATTACAATCGTACTCGACTGCGACCAGCACCGGTGGACCGACACAATTTCCTCGTTATAGATATATCTCGCTGTATCAGTGATGAGTTAAATATGGCAGTGAGTATACGGAGAAATATTTGTTTGCAAATTCGACCTGATGATTTCGCTGAACTTGTTTTTAGTCGTTACAACTGTAATCTCACTATCTCTGTTTGCTATAACAGAGTAAGTCTGTATTATCGTCGAAACGTTTCGACTTCTGGAAACAGAGAATCAAGCTATGTCAACATCGTACCGGTAAGACCACGTGAGATCGAAAATTCTACAAATTCAATGTCAACTGATCCTATAGTTTATCATCAGTTGCGAAACGGACGAGCTACTGTTTTTCGGCGTTATCTTAACAACAACCTAAGTCATTTTCCGACCGTAACACAGCGACGATTCAGCCCTTAATGTCGCCGCATTAACGGCATTAGCAGTTGCCAGATAAACGGATGAAAGAGACAGTAATCGCGGGTTCGTGTTGTTTACGCATAAATTACGTATGCGCGATTTTATAATATATAAAGCGTCCACGTCGCTTGGTGACCTCGATAAGTTGAAAATGCACGTCTCATTGCTGTTGGTGGTAGTACTCGGTTGCACGGCGGTCTACGCTGGTTCCATCCGGAGCCCAGGTAAATTATACTTCTGATTAAGACACTGAAAGAGCAAATTAATATTACACGAGACATTCGTAGTAATACTCAACACTTTCGAAAACGAAATGAACGTTACAATAAAGGGATCAGAGGTTGTCAAAAATTTGGAATACTTAACTTGGCTAACTTGTCGTTTCCCTAGTGTAAAGAGTGAGGCAAACGGGGGGTTATTAACGAACGAGAAAGAAACGCGACAATCACACGCGTCGATGGGCCCGCGGAGAGCGAAAAGCATTAAACATTCCGTCTGATTTGAATGTTGCACAGGCGATTATCGGGAAAGAATCGTTTCGGAGTCAGCACGATCCCCGGGCACGGCACAATCCAGGATTATAGGAGGAGAGAAAGCCACCATAGAGAAATATCCATTTGCGGTTAGTACAACGCGCGATCGATCTTCACAGTCGATTTGGCATTCAGAAAATCGTTGCCTCTCCCGCAGGTCTCGTTGCAGAACAATGGTACGTTTTTCGGCCACCAAGTCGAGCATTTCTGTGGCGGCAGTATCGTCGGGGAAAAGTGGATAATAACGTCAGCGCAGTGCGCTCTCAGGCAAGATTAATATATCGCATTGTCGACTGGACACCAGTTTCTGCGTACCGATTCTGCGGGGTTCGATACGTTTTTTACGCTGTTCCACGTTTTTTTTTTTAATTTTTTTTTTTTCACAGGATACAAGTGAGGAAGTTTCACGTGAGAGCTGGCTCTAACAGTTATTACGAGCACGGTGCTATCTACGCTGTTAAAAATACCGAGATCCATCCCGCTTATAACGCCATTAATTATGACTACGACGTTGGTCTCGTCGAGGTAACGCTACATTCGTTGTCTCTAGAAGATAAAGTGTACAGTGGTGTTTGTCGATGAACGAATAAAATATTTATAAATGAATATTTATAAATGTGTTTGAAAATAAATGTTAACAAAGGACTTGAATTAATAATTTAATTAATAATAATTGGATTTGCCTAGCTTTCCGAGAACATTAAATTCGACAATACCAAGCAACCGATTAAACTGCCAAAGTTCCATTCGGCGCTCGAGGACGGCGCCCAGGTTCAAGTGCTCGGTTGGGGTGCATCCGTGGTAAGAACGATGTCGAAACGTCCGAGAACGTTACGTCTCCAGGCGTAATATTGTAACCGAGCTGTTTAGTTATTAGGTCCCGTGTCGGAGGAACTTTTATGCAGCACGATGCAGAAAATTAATAACCATGACTGCCAGGAAGCCAGCGGGGGTGACTTATTAACGCACAGAATGTTTTGCGCCTTATCAAACACCGCTAGCGCCTGCGTCGGAGATTCAGGCTCGCCTCTCATTTATAACGGCACGTTGTTCGGTAAGTTTTTAATATCCTAATCGAGGCTTTCATTAATAATTCGGTGACACTGTTAAAGGTAAACCCGTCGGTCGATTAATTATGTACGAGGAATTCTTGCAAACTGATTAACTCCGCCCTCGTCGGCCGAGACGAAGAAAAAGCTTTGAGAATTTTATCGCTGGTTTTTAAAATTTCTTTAGAAACAACATTTCATCCTCGATTAAGTTAAATTCCAATTGGGAGCAATACTTGCCCTCTGCATGTTCGATAACAACCCAGAAAATAGAAAGGATTAGCAAATTACTGCAACGTGCAGTTATTATGTCAAATTCCTAATTTTAATAGCACAAATTACATACCATTCCTTATTGCTATGATCGTTAGTGGTTAATCTACGATTCGTATAACTCCATAGGCGTAACATCGTGGAGCCGATCCTGCATGTTGGAGTACCCGACCGCTTATACAGCTATATCCGAAGTCAGCGACTGGATCACCAAAGTTACTGGCGTAGCTTGATCCCCTGAACACCGCGATACAAAGCGTTCCAGAACAAGTGGGATAGTTTACAAATTATTTAGCGCTTTTTTCATATCGTTTTCAACGTCGAAATAACACCATAGGAGTAACACAATTCTTTTCCTTATTGTATGGTTCCTAACTTATTGTATAAAATAAAATAAAACTAGGAACGTAGAAATTATTAGCGATACAATTAAATTGTGAGTTTTTTTTCTTCTTTAACTATAAAAATATGTACCAGAGACTACCCAAACGTGTAATCGGAACATTTAACGAAGCTAATTAAATTTGTAAATATTACAACATTGAATGGTAGAGTTATATTTACAAAAGGGAACGACGCAAAAGATAGGACTTCCCGACTTTCCGTAACATGAGGAGCTGGTCGTGGTGTGCTGCAAAATGTACACAACGAAAATGTCGATGGCCCGATGATACCTTTTCGACGAGGGAAACTGATAGAAATCCGTATAAGCCAGGGAGGGAGGAAGTGCTTCGACGAGCGACGTTGGAAACGCGTTGAGAGAAAATGTTTAATTTCGAGGCTCCTCGAGACGTCGCTCCGTGAGCTGATAGCTTTCGACTGGCCATTGCAATAATCCTATTAAACCGCAGACGCGATCCAATAACTTTTCTGTCACTGGCTCCTCGCGTCCTCCATTCGACTGTTATTTTTATTTCGTTGCGTTGCGGTCTATACTCGCTCACACGCGATACAGACACACGCGTGTAGCAGAAATGAATTAACGCGCGATCGCCGTGTTGCTTCTTTTTCGGTACAACTCAAGCGACAGTTCAATTAACGGACTCGTTGAAGGAGCGACGAACACGTAGCACAATTAAGCATGGTGTGAGTTGGTCGCTATAGTCAGAAAAAAGAAATCAAAGTCTATTATTTGACATAGAAACTGTTTTCATATTTCGAATTAAGTCTTCGAATGGAGGGGATTCGAAGGAACTGTATACGTTTATATCAACCAGTTGCGAGTCGAATCGTTTCATTTAATAGTCCGATTCTAATCGTGTTCCCAACCAACCATTGGAATAGAACAAAAGAGACGGTCGAATATCGCGTCGAGGCGCGGATGCGCAAAGATGTCAAAGATGAGAAACTCTCGATATTGAGTTAACCTTAATGCACCGGTAATGTCGTTCCGACTACTGCGACAAAGTTATTACGTCCTAATGTCGTAACGTGTATTACGCAGCCGTTAACGCGCAGAGAGAATGTATAGAAACGTTGCTAACTGCCAGCTCGTTTTGCCATTTCCGTGCACCGTAAGATTCGCGCGTTGCCTCGAATATAATCGCCGAAATACGCGTTATCTACGCTGCAAGACGTTATCCATTCTAGCCTGACAAAACGATAATTCACGGAAACGTTGAAGAATGCATAAATTGAATATTCAGGAATCATGATACAGTTTTGTGCTCCAGCGATAACGTTTGGTAATCGTAAGATTTAGTAAACTAAATAAATTCAATTTCATTTCTCATCCTTGAAACGAACGCTTTTGAGATATATTTAAAGATGAAATTATAGGTAACAGAAGAGTTGCTTCGTCTACCAAAAATAGCTCGCAAACAAGACAAGTTTGCTTACCGAATAAAGAAATCTCGCGTTAAGACCGAACGAAAAGATAGCGGAAAACATGGAAGAAAATGGGCAGAGCGAGCCAGCATTATCGCGAGTCCACGACAGAGGAAAAGAAGTTTCTCTACGAGCAACGGGGCCAAAATTTCTTCTCGCGACGGCTACGATTAACCCCTAGGGCGGAGAAGGGTTGATAATCACCCCGAGGAAACAGGTTGCGCGCCACCCTTCCCAGTCGGCTGGAGCATATCAGAATGCGGTGTCGCAAGAAGCCACCGACATTGGAATGCTTATTGCGACTATTTGGCAAGATCCTCGGCAATATTAGCGTCGCCGCGAAAGCTCACGGTTATCCCAGGACTCGGAACACATTCCGCCAGCTCTTTTCAGTGCGTTAGAAACTTAATAATATAAAACGAATGAACGAGCGCCTGCACAACACACCCCAGTACACGCACATGGTGTAACTGGTCCGCTACGATGGCGTTGTTTCAAACGAAGAAATAAAAGAGTTCGGACTCTGGCTGGACTCGGGTACACCCTCGAGATTGTATCAATATTTTCTGCTAGACTCTCTTGGACTCTGTAAATATCGTTTGCCATCCGGTAACGAGAAAATCATGGTCTAACAATAAATGAAACCAATTCTTCTGCCACCTTCGCTGCACAGCTTTCGTGCGATTTTTATTTCCATCCCAAGTAGCGTCAATCGCTAACATCAGTGTGCTATAATACGCTGGAAGCTACACGCGAGATCTCCTGTTATTTCCACGAAAATCCAGTGCCACCATGATTTCACATCTCGTACAACCACGGTCTATTCGAGATTTGCGAAGGTTCCGTCGGAACGAGCAATATAAATGTACCGAGTTGCTGAATAGAGCGTGGGATGTCTACTGTGTTTCTCCTTCGTGTGACCGTTTCTCTTACTTTACGTCGTTTAAGGGGTCGCCGTCTCGCGCCGGCAACGCTAACGAAAATTTAAAAGCGTTATCAGACGAAATGCCCGCGACTTCTGAAAGTGGGGAGGGCACTCGTTTAAAAGGGCGGTCGCTCCGTGACAAATTCCTGATTTGCAACTCCATCCTTTGCCGACCATTTGTCCCCGCAGCACTGTAAAATTTAACAACTGACGAATGGGCCCCATTACTTAAGATTACCTACCCTTCGTTTCTTTCTAAGGACTCTAAGGCTGTTTGCGTCGCGGTGGCGTGCTTGGATCCTGGAACCGTTTCTCTCTTGGTCGTATTCGCGGCCCACTTTACGATTAATTCGGACAAGGACAAGAACGATCCTCGACAGCCGGAAACGGAAGCAATCGAGCAGACGAAACCGTCCGCCACGGCTTGAATATTTATAGAAATACGATTAAGTGTTTAACTACGTAACTTCTCAAAGGCGAGTTAGCAAGTTGGCTTTTGTAATACGGTAAGTGGATCGAATTACCCGGAGGTTTCACGGTTTTCTGCTGCCAAGATGGATCCCCGACTTCTCGAGTAATAGACTCTCTTCCTGGTCGTTTTGCTTCGTTCCGAATCACGGAGTTATAAAATTCTTTTATGGTTTAAATCGTTAATCTTTTATGTCCGACGCTCTTTTATTTATTGTATTTTATTTCGTCGAATTCTTATTGTACTGTATTTTTCATCGATTCACATCCAAATATCTATTCTTCAGTCTATTATTCAGTCTATTATTATTCAGTCTATTTATCTAATTTCTATTTTCGATTGAAAATTTTGTTTTCTCAATATCCTGTTCTCCTCTCAAAGAAGATAAGATCTCATGAAATTTAGAGATTTTTGTGAAACGTAAAACCGTCGCTTGACGCAGCTGTTCAGTTTCTAAAATCTGCCTGCATACGAATCCTGGCATATAATTCTCCGACGTAGCAAATCGAGAAACGTTCCGTCGCTGGGATCAATGTCAATGTTAATGCGACGAAGGAATTCGTTGAAATATGTATCTCGATGCATAAATCATAAGCACGGTATTAAAACAGAGAGACGGACGCGTGGCGGATACGTCGATGGATTCCCTCGTATCGGAACACGTTTCAAATCTATCGAGAAAAGGTTGAATCCTAATGTAGTATGAAAAGCAGCTAGGCAACATGTAAACCCGGAGCGAGCAATATATTTTCAATCCGTCGACCTTGCGCATAATGTTTCAGGTATCGGTTCTTAATATTTGTATCGGGGAGCGGAAAACACGATATCGGATTCACGGATGGAAATTTCGTGAAACGGTCACCGACGAAGAAAGGACGTCGGAATTGTTTCCCCTGTGTAAGCGGGCGATAAATATTGTACGTCGTACAATCGTCATCGAACAAGAAAAGAAAGATACGAATTAAACACGAGATATTCCAGCGTCTCATCACGCCCCGATCGATATCCTCGTAGTACCAGTTTACAAACAGTATAGAGGAACATTACGCGCCCGTTAAGCAGCGATTCCAACCGCCCACAAAATTTCGGATTCCGCGATTGATGTATGCGATCGCGGAGGATTCCAGGAAAGCTCCCTCGACGGCATGATGTGCAAATAATCCCAGCAGTCTGTCTCCTCCCGTTCCGGCTCGAAGATCTTCGCAAAACCGAGCCGTTTGATGGCTCCTGTCGCGCGTGACGAGCCCACAGACGGGATTCCATTTCGTCCCGTCGCGCTATTCCTCCTACTTAGCTCCCGGAAATATGACGCGGGATTCCTCCATGAGAAATATAAAGTTTAGGGTCCGTCAACCATGGTCCACCTTCAGCTAAAGAGTTCCATTAACGCGACAGGAAACTTAAGTAGCTTGGCACGAATCGCAGCATGCAATTGGCTCAACTGTCCGCGGAAACCTCGAGTCATTCTACTGCCAGGGAGTTTCTGTATTTCGAAACAAGGAAACAAAGCCCATTGCTCCAGTAATCTTTGTTAGAAACACGATTCGAGCCAACCTGAGCACGAGGAAAGAACCATCGAACAGTCGTTAATTCATCTCGAGCAAAATGGAAACGATACGTTCACGAATACATCGTTTTCACTCATGGAAGGAGGCAGGGGGGAGGTGAAACATGCGACAAACTTTCCATGTCCGTTCAAAGTGAGTTATAAGAGTCACACGACGAAACGATAAATCAAAAGAAGAAGAGAGAAGGCGCGAAAGGTAGAAAAGAGGTGGAGACGTGTCGCTCCTCAGGTGAAAAGATTTACGCCGAGGGAAATAGTAAGTCTACGGTCGCGGTGCTCGCAGAAGCGGACGAAAAGTTCGGAGAAAACAATGACGAAACAAAAAGCCGTAACATGTGTACCCGCGTTACACGGAAGCCTTAGGCAGTCGTCTTTCCTTTTCGTACTTGCGCGAGCGTTTTCCAACGACTCGCTTTTATGCACCGCGCGATCCAGTAATGTTAGTGACGGTATACAGAAGCTGTAAGTAAAATTCTGCGACGGTACACGAGAACGGAATGGCTGAACAGATCCGAAGTCAACTTTCAAGGTAATTCGTAACTGAAAATACTCCATTAAATTCAGTTTTCGTGACGGGGAGTCGCGCATGTCGCTCGCGGTCCTACACCAACTTGTCAAGGGATAAGCATTATTCTAGTCTCTGCTCTTGCCAACGAATCCATTTAAATTTGCCTAACATTTAACGTTTCGAAGAACGACTCGACGATGCGTTAGAATAGGTTGCATTTGACGCTGGCATAACGTCCGTCAGCTGGAAAAACATTGTTGCTAATCCGAAGTCATACTCGTCACTACAAATCTCTGCAAGCACGCTAATTTCTCGACTAATTGTTTAATTTTCTGTGAAAAGAAACAATGTCCAACGTTATGAGCAGGCTCGGACGATTGTCACGTAAGAAAAGAGTTGCTGCATCGCTTCGACCTCGCGAGATCTCAATGAGTCTGTTAGCTTGTTTACACCATAGATGATTACAACGACTAGCGTAAGAATACAGCTGCCAGCGCGTTGCTTTAAAACAATACGTTATTGTAAATACAACGGCCTTCGTTACATCGGTCCCTGGGGCAATCTTCTTTTGTGTCTCCGCCTCGCGCACTCTCTGGCGCATATGCGTTACACTATCGAGACGGCGAAAGTTTTCTAAAATTCGCTCGACGACACCGAAAGATTCAACTTTCAGCGTATTACAGTCTTACACGTATCTCCTAATCTCGATAGAAAGAGTACTTCTATGTTTGTCACTTTTATAGTTTTATTTATTCCAAGTTTACCGTAATTTAGGAGGATTGTCGTACCCCTTAAAAATCAAAACTAGTCATTCGAACAGTCTTTTTCTCGACTGCAATTAACGTTCCATGTCACACGGAACGCAACAATTTTCCCTGCGTGCGACTGCGAATCCCCGTCGTA